TTCAGTCACAGTTGCATATTGAAATGTTATCAGTAATGGAAAACTATCGGTGGGAAGATTTATCATCTGGCTATATCAAAATGACCAACGGCCTCAATTTAAAAGGAGTCATTTTGACCCCAGGAAAGCAGGAGGGTATAAGCACTGTGCTTTAAAATATTAACATTCACACACATAAAAAACATTGATTTTCCTTTGAGCGTTTAAACTGTAACAATATTGTAAATTTAAATATGTTTTTATATATATGTTTAAAAAAAGAAAAAGTGTTTCATAAACTTTAACAGTTTTGGTGCATACATGTAGAGGAACTTACGATTCGTCATTGATGACCGTGTTGATTGCATTTCTGAGATCCTCAATTGTCATGGAGTTAAAGTCAACGTTAGCTGCAACTCCTTTGGCCTTCATGTGCACCATGTTGTCTGGTTGTTCAGCAAACATGGGGATTCCCACCATGGGAACACCGTGATAGATGGCCTCATAAACCCCATTTGCACCACCATGAGTGATGAAAGCTTTGGCTTTAGGGTGACCTGATGTGAGCAGAAGTTATAAAACATTTGTGACTCACTTTACAGTTTGATAAAGCTAAACAAGTAAAAACAAAATGAGAAAAGAAACATACTTGGCACAAAATGTAAAAAATTTGTATACTTTAGATTTTTTCTTTGTAACAATGCTTCTTGGAAATAAATCTTATACCAGGCACATGATTTGGCAGCACCTATGGGTGTTAAAAACTCAAAACAAGTGTCAGTAGCAACAACAGAATAAGCTGTATTTGGCAAGTTTTTCATGTGTACAACCCACATCTCAGCTCTACTGTTCATCGCACAAAGGCTGTGACTCCAGCAGGCGCTGTTATTTCTCTGTTCATAACTTGGCCTTAAAGAAAAATATGCTAAGTGGTCCTTACAAATATGGCACCATTTAAAAGGTAAATGAACAGGCTTTCCAATGGTATACGATTTATTGCCCAGAAGCATTGTTATAAAAAAGGAATAATCTACCAAATACAAATTCCCTTACTATTTGTGCCAAGTTTAGGTCCTAAAACCAACTACTTAAGTTTTAGTCAAAAGTAGTAATGGAACTACTGTAAATATTGAGTTGTGCATTTTTTTCTACTACTACTGCACTGATAGACTGT